AAAACATAGTCAGTACTGTTGAAATTTATCAGTGTATCAATTTGCTGGGGTTTTTGTTTTGTTTTCCCATTACACCGACTTCTGGTTAATTTTTTTTAAATCTTTACCCAAGGACATTTTTTCATTGTTTTCAGAGAGAGAGAGACATGGATGTGAGAGAAAAACATTGATTGGTTGCCTTCTCCTGTGTGGTCCCCCCAAACCCAACCAGGGACGGAACCCACAACCTGGGTATGTGCTCTGACTGGGAATTGAACCTGTGACCTTTTGGTCTCTGGGACGATGCTCCAACCAACTGAGCCACACCGGCCAGGGCTCTGATTACATTTTAAACCACTATCTTGTATCACTGTTGGAAGATCACTTCTCTGCTTCGTTATTCTCATTGGATTTTATTCCCTCTCTAACATGCCTTGATTCTCAAGGCAACTGCACTATGCCTAGCACACAGTGAGGAGCTGGAGATGTCAAAAACTTTAATATAGTCTAGTAATTTTTTTCTTTATATAAGATGGAATAGTCAGTGATAACTATTATATGACCCTATGCAGTTTTTAAAAAGAATATTGGAAAATATACATGAAAAATTTCAGCGAAAATTTTATCTTTGGTTTGAGTCCACATATTACATGTTTGTAATTAAATGTGGGCCTTTGTCTCTTTTCTTTCCAGCTTGCCTACACGTAGCCTGTGTTGTACAGCAGAAAGATGCCAGACAGTGGTTTGCTGAGCTTTCTGTGGATATGGAGAAGGTATTCTTGAAAATTCCCTTAGTGGAATTTAAACTTGAACATTTAAAAGTTAATGTCATATTTACTTATCATGAGCCTAAAAAATCTTAAGATGTCTACGAGACTAAAAAGATTTTTGGTAAAAAAAATAAATAAATATGTTTGACAAGAAGAGTTGATATTGACTGTTCAGGTGCTACTTCTTTTTTTGGGTTAGCTTAAACAGAATGGTAAACTTTTCATTTGATCAGTTGAAGAGCAGCCTCTAAATTTCAGGATTATTTTAAAAGCTACCTAGTGATCACTAAATACTACCATAAACTTCTGAGATAAAGCCTATCTCCTGACAAAATGGTTTTTGCCCTTTTTCCTATCTTTTCTGCTGAAATGTTGTTGATAGCATTAAAATCAATCCAGGGTTAGGTCTATTCACATGAGGAAGAAAGGACTAATTTGGAAACTGGATATGACACATTTGTAGCTGTCAGTTTTTTTAGTTCCTTGTTTACAGTAGTCAATAGAATTAAGATGTCTTTTGTGTACTACCTCCCATTAAATTGTTTGAAACAATTGTTTTTGGAGAGCATACTGTACAGTGGTGAACTGCATGATTTAGACCTCTGTTCCTAGTACCTCATTATTTTGCTTTGCTTTAGATACCAGCAGATAGAAGGAAACTAGCATCAGAGAGATGAATAAGGATTAACAAGGCATACACCTTAACACAGGAGAGGCTAGAAGGAAAAGCCTCTTAAATAGCACAAGCTTAAATATCAGTGTGGTAAAAATACTGCTCTCACATTTACCCGGATTGTCAAGCCTGAATACTTAATGATGGAGACTCTTGGTCTTTTCACTGTTTTCTGAGGGATGCCTAATATGTGATGTGTATCTTTATATACTAAATGCTGCTTGATACTGTCTTTGAGAGCTTTTCAAATATTTTCTTCTAGATTTTGGAAATAATCAGGGTTATTTTAAAACTATATGAACAGTGGAAGAATTTTGATGAGAGAAAAGAGATGGCAACTATTCTTAGTAAGATGCCGAAACCAAAACCTCCTCCAAACAGGTACTTTGTGGACTTTAATTTTCTATTCCATTTAATTATATATTTCATTTGCATTGTCACATTTTTTTCATAGATTATATTGTTTTGGGTTTTTTTGCTTAAAGTTTCTTCTAGAACCTCATAATACTTACAAAATTTTAATTTTTAAAAAATTTGTGACTTGATAGATTGAGAATGTCTCATTTGAAAAAATTAATTGGATTATCTGTATAGTAACTTTTCCTAATGCAGTGGCAGGTCTATTACAGGTATCCCTCAACATATGGCTATATAGTATACATAAATTTAAATAGGACAGTATTAGGCCAGTTTATTAGAAATTCAGAGATAAAGAATTCTGTAGTGTTCCTGTCACTGGGACTCTATGCCATCTTCCACCCCTCCCCCACTACCGGCTATTATCCTGTTTTATAAATTCCAGTAGCAGTTTTCAAAAACTTAGATTATTAATTTGATATTGTAAGGATAAAGAATTTTGCCTTTTGAGTGACCCAGTATGGTCCATGGTACCCAATAATAAGATTTTGCTAAATATGAAGCACTTGTGCCAAGGGAGTTTTTGTGGTTTTAGTAGGATCTGTTCATGTAGTGCAGTGGTTGTTAGCTTCCACTGTGTGTCAGATCGTTTGGGGTAGGGAAACAGCGTCAAAAGGAAAGTAAAGAAATATTGCCTATCTTAATTAACTTATACTTAATTTATAAAACATTGAAATAGATTTGTAGATCTGATATGTTAATGTCACTGTTAGGAAAAATAAATACTTATACAAGGAGCTGTTCTAAAACAGTCATTCAAACAGCTACCTTTGGATGCATTTTTTGCAGAAATTCCCTGAGTGATTCTCCACTAGTGGCAGGGCCTGAAGCTGCAAGATGAGGATGGACAAGATAAGGCAATAACCCTATTGCCACAGTTCCTGGTATTTTCAGTTTTAGTTACTTTTATTTTAAATATTCAGCATTTCCCAGGAAATTACCATATTTCTGATTTATAAAGGTTTGCTATATTTACATAAGATTTTAGTATGCCTTTGAACAATAATTTTTTGGGAAGAACACTTCTTGATTTTCATAACTGGTTAATAGGAATACGATTTTATATGTAAGATTTAATTTTATAGGAGATTTGTTCAGAAGCTCTAATCTATATGTTGAGTGATACCTGTAATGACAATGAAATCCCATACCATAATTTAAATTTTTTTTAGTGTATATGGATACTAATTTTCAAAAAGCTTGTTATGTATGAGGATACTAAGTTACATAAGAATAAAAATATAAAACCAAGTATTAGTCTTCTGGATTTTAATTTTTCCATATCTGTGTCTTAAAATTGTGAGTGTGTTTGTTTTTGTAAATTTGTACCACAGAATAACTAACTTTAAAAATTAGTAGGTGTATCAGGGTATTGAAAATGAGTCTTTTAATTGGTATAAAATCTCTTTCTTCCCCACTTACACAGTGAAGGAGAGCAGGGTCCAAATGGAAGTCAGAATTCTAGCTACAGCCAATCTTAAAACATTCCGAAGAATTCCGTAGTGGACCAGTTGGAAATAAACCATTGGACAGATTTCAGTAATGTCTTCAATGGAACACAAATGAAAACGAATAGCTTGTTTCTGTCAAGCATATTGGGAAGTGATTTTATTTTTGCAAAATAAGTTTTTCCTTACCTAATTTGATTCTAGTACATAATTGATTAAAGTATCTTGATTATAAAAGTTTGGAAAGGTTCTAAGGGGACCTATAGACATTTCAAAATTAATAGTTTTTGATTAGTATTATTTTTCTTAATTTGGATAATAGAAATTGTAGCTTTTTATTAAGCCAGGAAACATGGAGCATAATTTGTGTAAAATTATCTTTGGTCATTGAAGGACCAAAAAAAAAAGGACATAAAAAGTGAAATATATGAGGGTTTTTTTCCCCTCCTTAAGTTAAACTTTAAAACTGTATTTAAGGAATCAAATCTTACAAAATCCTGGAAGATTTTGGTAATGATGTTGATAATTTCAGGGAAATTAATCAAGTACCTATTGATTTTAAAATGTATTTTATTCAGTAGTTTTAGTATCTTGCCATGGAAGATACTAGCCCAGCCTAGCAGGAAAGTGCAATATGTATAGCATACTTTGACGTTTAAAAAGTTATTAATTCTGTAACCATTTTGAAATGCTGGGCAAATTTTTTTAAAAACCTACATGAAGTCATTTGCATTTGATTCACAGTTAAATGAGGCATTTAGAAGGCTAATTGGATAAAACATAGTATGGTTGAAATTTGGTAACATTTTAATGTTAATTTTTACTCTACTGTGAAAAGTTTTTTATATGACATACACACACTAGTTTATTTTTGTGTCTTAGTGTGGATTTACAAATTTATTACAGGTATCCTGAGCCAGGGACACAATCAGGTTTCAGGCCAGTTTGATACTGGCTACTCTTAATTCTCATGAGCATAGGACTTAAGACTAAATGTTATGTCAGTGGGACTGTGCTGTCTGTGGAACTTAATAAATTAATCATTTTCTTCAGACTTGAAGGAGAGTGATAAATAAAATTTGGAGTCATAGGATATTGATGTACAATTTAAGGATTAAAAATTTTATAAGTCAATTGTGAACAATGAATTACAAAAGTAAATGTGGATTTCCTAGTATAAAATTGCAAGAATAAAAGTATGTTCTCCAGCCATATTGACTAGTGTCTTATTTATCTTATTAAATCTGCCTTATGTTTTTTTCTGAGAGTCCTTCTTCCTTTAGACAAGTATTAAAGCTTTTTGTAGTTTGTCAAGTGGGTAATTTCAAGTAGTTTAAAAGCAGACTTAGAGCTCTGCTTCCTTGTGGAAAGTAGCAGAGAAACTGGGGAAAGAGATTATGTATAAAATCAGTACCAATGACAAATACAGGTCTCCTAGGCTCATGGTCAGGATAAGAAATGAGAAAAAAACTTTCCTCAGGTCTGAAGGAAGTGAGATTGGGCTTGGGTTGAACGAGCAGAGTGATTGTATATCATAATCATTGAGTTAACCCTAATTTTTCATTTAAGATATTGTTTTAAAACTTTTACTTTGGAAATTAATGCATATGACTTAGAGTTTTATTTCCAACGTCTTACAGAAATTTAAATCAACATATATAGAGTAGATAAAATAGTGTAATAAACCTCCACATACCAGTTATCCAACTCCAACAGTTTTCATGGCCAATTTTATTTCTTCTAAATTCTCACCCACTTCCCCCAACATGCATATCATTTTAAAGCAAATCCAAGATATCATTTCATCCATAGTTATTTCAGTATGTATTCCTCAAAGATAATTGCTCTATAAGAGAAAACTATAAAAGTATTATTGTACCTAAATAAGAATTTGTCATAACAATTTTGTAATACCAAATACTCAGTGTTAAAATTTTCTGCTATCTCTTAAATAATAAGAAATATAGTTAAATAATTCTAGTCAGGATCTAAATGAGGACCATACATTGTAATTCACTAATAAATCTTTTAAGTCTTCTAAAATTCATAGATTCTATCTTCATCTCACTTTTAAAATCCTTTTAAATCCTTTTTGGAGAATTTTAAAGTTCAACATCATATTCTGAAGCTTTTTTCTTGGGATGGGTCCGTTTTTTCTAGAGAGGAAGCTTCTAGCTTTCTGTCTGAGTGGGGTATGAACTGAGGGGCTGTCAGTTCTTGGAGACAGGTAAGGCCGGGGACTAGGTATCATTGTTCAGTATTCAGTTTCTCTTTATCTTCTATTTTCAGTAAGGGATCTCATTGTCATTCCTGCCCTCAGATGTTCAGCTGCAAGTTTCACCTGCCTTCTTTACCCATTAATGCTAAGTGAATGCAAAATATCATGTGCCTATAAACAAGTACCATATTGTAAGGATTCACACAGGAAATATTATCCCCATCTGGATACACTTTATCCAGATTCTACCATTACCATTCTTTATGAAAATTTCTCTCTTTCCCCTTTCCCTTCTTATTTTGCTTCTGGAGAATGTTGAAACACAGAAAAGAAGTAGTAACAAAATCACATTTTTTCACTAATAAACTGCTGCCCTTTTAGACACTGAAAAGTAATTGTTGCTGGATGGTAGAAGAAGCATTTAATTTTCCACTTGTCCTTAATAATACAAATTTCTCACCAATTAGCTGTTGATCCTACCTCCATCCAGTATTTCTATGGTATATACATACTAAATAGCAAAAGGGTGCATTATCACAGAATCCAAGAGACCTCACTAAGATCATGAGGCCCATAAGAAAGAAATGTGAATGAAGGAAACCCGAGATACTTCAGTTAATGCAGAACTCTTGAGATTGTCCACTGTTGACACTTTTTCTGTCACATTTCTAAAACTTTGATAATGCAAAGGTAATCAAAAGCAGTATCCTCCCATCATTAAAACAAAATGGCCACTTAAATATGTTAAATAATATGCTATATTTTTGTGTTTTGAGTTATCTGATACCACAGACCTTACTGGTGATTTTTACTCTTGAGTTTTATTGTAAAAGTCAGTGCAGTTTCAGGTATATAATTGTTAAGTTTTTATTTCAGAAAAACTGACAACTAAATTTTTTACCAGTTTAATCTAATATAGTAAATAAATTATTCTAATTAATTTATTAGCCCTTAGTTTTTAAAAAAGATACAAGTACAATTATATTTGGGTATAGGATACCCAAACAGGATACATTATTTATCATAGTTTTTTTCTTAGAAGAGTACCAGGAATCCAAAGGTATAATTGTATGAACTGGTATGTCTCTTAAGTTGAGGATATGCCCTAAAGCCTATGTTCTTTCTCCAGAAGAAGCCATTATGAATTTTGTATTTATTTTCCTAACTTATTTGTTATGCATATACACAAAAATAATAAATGGCATTTTGCTTGTTTTCAAATTCTTGTATATGTTTCTGAAATTTGCTTTTTCAATACTGTGAGAGTCATCCATGTTAATATGTGTATTTCAGTTTTTTCATTTTTTTAACCCTCAGCTGTGGCTAATCCATTAAACTTACCTACTGTCATCTGTTGGATTTTAAATTCTGGAATTTCTATTTGATACATTTTTGTAGTTCCCATTCCTGTGATAAACTTTTCTGTTTTATCATGTTATTGAATATATAAACCAGTTATGTTAAAGTGGTTGAAGACTCCAATATGTAGCTCTTTTGTGGAGCTTTTTCTGTTATCTTTTTTCTTTTATTTTTCAATCATGAGGTCCTATTGATTGCTATTTCTAGTAAGATTTGATAGAATTCTGAACACTGATATGAAAAACTTTATCATTTGTGTTTCTGACTCAGGGGTGGGCCAAATCCCACCTGCCACCAGTTTGGGGCTGATCTTTTGATCTGATTTAATGGTTGAAAAATAAAAATATTTGGCAATACATGAAACTTATACAAAATTCAAATCTAAGTAACCATAAATAGTTTTATTGGAATAACAGCCACACTCCCATTTATGTATGGTCCTATGGCTGCTTTTGTGCTGCAGTAGCAGTTGATTAATAGAGACTTTATGGCAACTGAAAATATTTACTGTTGCCAACCCCTGCTGTAGCTAGACAAGTGGTATCTTTGTCCAAGAGAGGATTTACTTCTGGTAGGCCTGTAAGGGTATCAAGATCACCTGTATCCATTCAGGCATTTAGATGATTCAAAGCTGGCCTTACCTTTTTTACAAGGATTGGTCAGTTTCTGGTTCACCTCTACTTCTACAGTAAGCTTTTCAGGGGTTCCAATTATACTATATAAAAGCCTGGTGTATTTAACCCAGATTCCCGTTCCTTGATAGGTTCAGTAATTCAACAGTGGCTCATTCTGTACAGCTTTTCTTCTCCCCAGATCTGCCTTTAAACAGATTATTTATTTATATATATATATATATATATATATATGCACATATATACACACAAATATTGTTTATATGTAATATTGTTTAATATTAGAGGAAATATATGAAAGCAGCGAGGATATGAAAAGGCACAATCTCACAGAGAAGGAAAGCTGTAGAGGATGAAGCAACACTGAAGTGTGTGTGTGCACATTACATACATGGATTTCCCAGCTTTTCTAGTTCTCATAAGGAGTTTGCTGTGCTAGAAACTTGATTGACATTATCAGAAAGATAAGCTCAATGTGATCACATCACATCCCTACTCCAGATTCTCTAATAGCTAATCTATATCCTTTAGGACAAACCAAGTTCTCATAGTCACTTGCTAGGCCTTACAGGATCTGGATGACAGACAGATGGGTCCGAAGAGGTACAGATGGAAGAAAGCATGGATTTGTTTACCACCCGGGCACCAGCACACTAACAAGTAAGACATTCCAAAGGAAAATACTCGTGCTAGTGGTTAAGGTTCTTTTCCCTGTTTTTTATTATTTTAATTTATATAATAGAAAATGCATTTTTAACTGTCCACTTAAATGAGTTTTGATAAATGTATAGACCTGTGAACCACAGGGCATTTCTATGACCCCAGAAATAGCCCTCCTTACCTTTCCAGTTAATCTCCTTCACTCAACAGGAGCAATCACTGTTCTGATTTTGATCCCTATAGATCATATTAATTTTTAAAGATATTTTATTTATTTTTAGAGAGGGGAAGAGAGGGAGAAACATCAGTGTGTGATTGCCCCTTGTGTACCCCCAACTGGGGATCTGGCCTGCAACCCAGGCATGTGCCCTGACCAGCAACCCTTTGGTTCTCAGGCCTGTGCTCAATCCACAAAGCTACACCACAAAGCTACACAGTCAGGGCCAAATCATAATTTTTAAATTGAAAGTTATATCACTACCATGCTGGTCACAACATTACCATTAGTCTTTGGATACTGGAATTTTCATCGGTATTTCATCTACTTAGAAGGATCCCAGATTCTTGGTGTTTTAATGTCAAGTCCATTTATTAATCTGGCCTAACTCATAGCCTCTAGTGGATAGAAAATATACTAACACAAATGGTCATACATGATTAGGAAATACAAGTAACCTGGTGTTTTGGAATAGTATTGAACTAAACTGTTTAAAAATTAATTCCTGGAATCCCAACCCTTACATATCTATGGCAAGTCACAGTGTCTTGACCTTCAATAGCCTTTGCAAGTAGGCAGGGGAAGTGATGTTCTCAATTTACAGTTGGGAAAAAGATTCGACAAATAATTGACTTATACAGAATCCTCTTCCCATTGGCCAGTGGTGCCAAGGCTAGATTTTTATTCTCTTGCTCGTTCCATTGTGCTGGGCTGCACACACGCAAGGAAAAATCAAGCTCGTGTTCCAAAATTCAGTTTCCTTGTTTCTTCTCTGAATATTCGTAGGATGCCCATTCCTTCCATCCTCCAGCATAGTGTTTGGCACTGAAAACATACATCAAACAGTGCTGTAAACATTTTCTCCTGCTTTATAACACAAGGTTGATAGAAACTTTATGAACTTCAGAGATTTAGAGATGTGGCTACTCACCATACTATTGAGAGATTTAAAGATTGTTAGGTTAATATTTAAATAGGCTACTATTTGGCCTATTTAAAAGATTGTGTTACTTTTGAGTAGTATGAAAAGAGAGAGCCTCTTAATCTGGCTATACTGCCATTACTGACAGTAATTATAAGTTTTTCAGTATTCCAGCAAAAGTGTAGTACATATGAAACCTTGCAATACATTCTTGAATCCATTTTTATGCTTCATCAATGTACCTGTTAAAGCCCAGAGATACTGCTGTATCCAGAGCCGCCTTGCTTCTCACTCCAGCTAAACAAGAAAACACTAGATCATCAGATTTGGATGGCTTCACTTCATTATACTTCTCTTTGAAGTGTTCTGGGTTCATCTGTAGAGCTTCACCTACCTCACCCACTGGAAAAAAAAAATGTAAAGACTCCCAGTTAAATTTTATCTATAGTAAATTGTCTGAATATATATACTTTTTTCGTAATGAATCAGTTTAAGACACATATAACTTACATGGTATATTGACAGACCCGGGGATTTTTCCATACTCGAGAATTTCCCATGTCTCTCTAACATCAATTAACATAATTTTTTTGGAATTCAAGAGGTTTTTAAGTTCCTTATAAGTGACATCTTTAAAAACAGAAGTACAAACATTGTGGTGGTTTCCTTTTATTGAGTTTGAACCTGGAAAAAATAAATAATATAGCACCTTCAAAACAGTATCACTATTAATATCTGCAAAGAGAAGGCTGAAGGAATTTTCCCCTAGCCAGCTAACTATACTTGATCTTTCAACTTTACTAAACTGTAGTCGACGTATATATTTTGCAGTCGGACTGAGCAGGAGGATGCGATGCAGCCCTCTCCTCCCGCCCTGTGTGCTTAATGGCTGGCTTTGTGCCAGCCTGTATTCTACCCTCTCCAAGCCCCTTCACTGGAGTGAATTTGTAAATACACATAAAGCATTTGTTGAGTGAATTGTGCAAATATGTAAATCTTACCATGATCTAAAGTTACAATAAACTTTTTTATTAAGAAAATTTAAATTTCATTTCCCCTTACAAGCAAAGATAATAAGCCATATGATATGAGGACCTTACAGTTGAAAGCACTTGTAAGTACTTAATGGTGCTTTTTCGTTAAATAATTGCTAACACAATAGGCTAATGAGTCAATAACCATAAAACAAAATAAATACACTAAGGATATAATTGAATGAGTGGGGAAAAGGGATTGTTTACTGATAAATGTAGAAGGAATGATGGAAATACCATCATCATTGGGTAAATACCCCAGTAATAACTGTTGCAGCAAAAACCATTGATACTAGAGTTAGTAGATGAAAGTATGTTGAGAAACGGGATAGTATCCCTCAAGAGATACTTATTATACAAAAGGAGACACCTGGAAGATACCACTAACCAGTTATTCAAAGGTCACTAGTAATAAGGTATGTCGACAATATGTACTTGATAGGATGCCCTGAGGACAGCACACCACTTCTTTTGTATCCTTGCCAAAAATGCATACCCCGAATCTAATCAGAATAAAATCTCCAACCAGCCCATAGAATAACCAGTACTCTTAACAGTGTCACTCATGCCCTGGTAGGTGTGGCTCAGGGGGTTGAGTGCCGGCTTGTGAACCAAAAGGTTGCGAGTTTGATTCCCAGTCTAGGGTACATGCCTGGGTTGCCAGCCAGGTCCCCAGTAGGGGGCATGCGAGAGGCAAGCACACATTGATGTTTCTCTCCCTTCCCCTTTCTAAAAGTAAATAAATAAAACATTTAAAAAAAGAAAGCCTATACCATGGAATTTTAACTGTTCAAATACCTATGCTTTATAAATAAAGGCTAAAGGTAAATACACTAAAAAACAGTGTCAGTCATGAAAGACAGAGTGTGGAACTGTCACAGACTGAAGCAAAGGAGCTGTAACAACTTCATACAAATGTTGGATCTTGGATTGGGTCTGGGACTATAAGAAGCATCAGTGAGGAAGCTGATGGGTTGGGTTTTTTTTTTTTTTTTTTTAAGATTTTATGTATTTTTTAGAAAGGGGGGAGGGAGGGAGAAAGGGGGGAGAGAAACATCGATAGGTTGCCTCTCACGGGCCCACAACCAGGGACCTGACCCGCAGCCCAGGCAGTGCCCTGACAAATCCAACTGGTGACCTTTCGTTTGCAGGCCAGTGCTCAGTCTGCTGAGCCGCACCGGCCAGCGCATAAGACTGGTGGAAGTTAAATCAGGTCTCTGGGTTGGGTAGTGGTATCATGTCAAAATCAATTTCCTGGTTTCAATGATTATACCAGGTAAGATGTTTATAGAAAGAAGTTGGGTAAAAATAAAAGAAACTATTTTACCTTTGCAACTTTTCTATAGGTCTAAAATTATATTTTAAAAAGTGAAAGGAAACAAATTTTAATTAAAAGCAAAGTTAGTGTTCATATTTCACAACAAAATGCCCACTATAAGGTAAATAGTGCTTCAAATGTTTGAAATATTAAGTATAATGTGAACCTGTGTTAAGTAAAGCTGACATAAGGAGTTTCAAAGGTCTAAGTCCAGAAACAGACCCACAATGTACCGTCTATGGTAACTCAGTATCTGATAACAGTAATATTTCAAATTTATGGGGGAATTATGCAGTTATGTGTCACTCAACAGTGGGGTATGTTCTAGGAAATGCGCCACGAAGCGATTTCGTCTTTGTGCGAACATGACAGACTGCACTTAACACAGACCTAGATGGTAGCTCCTACTACACACCTAGGCTCCAGGTACAGACTATTGCTCCCAGGCTCCAGACCTGTGCCGCATGTTACTGTACTGAATGCTACTGGCAAGTGTAACACAACGGTGAACATTTGAGTATCTAAACATAGAAATGGTACTATCAAATTATGGTATAAAAGATAAAACATGGTACACCTGTAGGGCACCTACCATGAATGGAGCTTGCGGGACTGGAAGTTGCTCTGGGTCAGTGAGTGAGCGGTGGGAGAATGTGAAGGCCCAGGACGTTACTGAGTACTACTGTAGACTTCATAACCACTGCGCACCGAGGCTACACCGAATTTATGTATCTATTTTTCCCCCAACAATTAATTAACCTTAGGTTGCTGTAGGTAACCCTTTTACTTTGTAAACTTTTTGATTTTTTAAAACTTGACTTTTTCTGTAATAACACTTAGCTTAAAACAAGCACATTGTACAGCTGTACAATTGTACATTTGTACAATGTACAAAAATATTTTCATATCCTTATTGTATAAGCTTTATCTATTTAAAAAATATTTACTTATTTTTTTACTTTTTAAATGTCTTTGTTGTTGTTAAAAACTAAGACATGAATACACATTAGCCTGGACCTATATAGGGTCAGGATCATCAATAATTGTCTTCCGCCTTCTCATCCTACTGGAAGGTCTTCAGGGACAATAACACACAGGGAACTGTCATCTCCTGTGATAACAATGCCTTCTTCTGCAACACCTCCCGAAAGACCCACCTGAGGCTTTTCTTGAGGCATCCCTTTTTCAGAAATATGCCCATGGTGGTTTGCTTGGTGTACTTTCTTCATTGTAGATTTTCTTTTAAAGCACATAATGCAACATGAACATTCTTCTCTGTTAATGAAAACATGTTGGTGTTGGTGTCCAGGTTCTCAAACTTTTTAAGGAGCTTGGTGAGGACTGCAAAGCTTCTGCTAAACCCTTCACTATGAATTTTTTTGGGATGGTTCTTCTTTTTCTTCTCCTGGAGTTTCTTTTTCTCTTGCCACTTCAGCTATGCATTCATGTTCTAGTTCCAACAACTCGCCGATCCATTCCTCAGCGTCAGCCTCATCTACACCCAAGTTAAAATCGTTTGCCATCTTAACCACAGCCTTGCTGATTTTTGCAACCTTCTTATCCTTGGCAATTCCTTTAAAGTCAGGCGCTGAACCATCACTAGGAGACAGGAATTTTTCAGCTCCATTCTAATCTCATGGGACTATCCTATATGCATATATGCAGGTTGTCACTGACCCAAACATAGCTTTGTATGTGGCACTGTATGTACCCAAAAGAATTGAAAACGGGTTTAGATAGATATTTATATGCCAGTGCTCATAGCAGCATTATTTACAATAGCCAAAAGGTGGATACAACCTGAGTGTTCATCAGTAGATAAATGGATTTAAAAATGTGGCATGTGCCTACAATGGGATATTCTTTAGCCATAAAAAGGAATAAAGTTCTGACATATACCACAAGATGAAACTACAACATTGAAAACATGCTGAGTGAAATAAGCCAGACACAAAAGGAGAATATTTTGTGATTCCACTCATATAGCAAGCCTAGAGCAGGTTAAATTCATAGAAAGAGAAAATAGGCTAGAGATTACCAGAGCACTGGAGGGAGCATAGGGAGGTACTGCTTAATAGGTACAGAGTTTCTGCTGGGGATGGTGAACATTTTTAGACATAGTGGTGATGATTGCATGACATTGTGAACATAGATAATGCTATTGACTTGTACACTCACAAATGATCAAAATGATACATTTTGTTAAATTTTACCATAAGTAAATTTTAAAAGTAAAAACACAGGCTTTCTCATCCTCTTCAGATTTTAAAAAGTTGGTTCACTTTTTGGTCAAGATTAGATCTTAAAACACCTGGAATCAAACTCTTTCTTTCAACTGTTTTGTGGATTCCCAGGATATAAAAGGCCAGCAGGTTGAATTCACACTTGTTAACTATTCCTCACTGTTAGGAACTAGAAAAGTATGGTAATTTAATAAATTACGTTAAACTTAAGATTGTGGCATTTAGCCACTGGGAAATATAATCACAGAATGTAGCCTGTGTAACTAAAGAAAAGATAGTTGTATCTTTCTTGCTAAAATTGACATTTAACTTTCTCTAATTCAGCTACATTCAGGGGTGCCGGGAAGAACAGGGCGTGTGATCAGCAGGGATGCTTTCCTTGCTTTTCCAGACTGAGCCAAAGCCTGAAGCAAGCATGTTTCCTTAAAGAGTCTCAGCTCCTCCAGGCCTCTCTTGGTATGAGCCTCTACTCCAAACTAATTCTTCCCTTAAAGCTATGGTGCGGTTCGTTGTTCTTTTGTACAACGAGGCCTCTAATTGTAAATTGACCACTTCATCTGGTGCTTACCCAAAGAAACGGTGATCTGTTCCTATACTGAAGAAAAACTGGATATTTGGGATTTACTCAAAGATCATGTGCAGTTCTCTTGAGGATTTCAAGAGTAATATACACGGTACCTGCTTTTTACCTTTTTTCTGCCTAATCTTTCAACAGACTTTAATTTTGCTACTTCTGCACCAGTAAATCTAACCATATCTGGGTTCTTCCTACAACCTACGTTATAGGACAGCCCACGCTATATTCGAGTCCAAACTCCTAAGTACAGGATACAATCCAAGCCTTTCAACCCACCTTACCAGCATAATTTATCAAACCTTACAATCTTCCTCACTCCTTCTCTGCCTCAATTATCCCACCTTCCAGCTACATCACAAGTACATTAAGTCCTGATTCTGGTGACTGCCACCAAGGGTACACCTCTAGACTGTGTGGCTCTGGTGGCCAGTAGGGCTTACACTTTCAGTCCCACAGGACTGTATACATTTGCATATTTTAAAAGCTGATGGTCTGGCACGCAGTCAGCCTGAGATCCACCCCTTTGGGACACTGACAGGTCTTGGCATATCCTCAACTACACTATTAAAGACATAATAGGCGGCTTGGCCAAGCACAAAGGTTTGAGAAACAACCAAGAGCTAAGGCAGTGTTGAATGACAAGGCTGAATGACAAAGCCACTCCTTCCAGCTTGAAGAGGGACTGTTTCATCTACTGTAGTCAGCACTTCCACTCTGGGTATTTATCCAAAGAAAACAAAGACACAAATTCAAACATATATTCACCTGCATTTCACTGCAGCATTACTTATAATAGCCAAGAAATATCCATCAATGTATAAATGAATAAAGAAACTGTGGTACACACCTACAATGGAATATTACCCAATCATAAAAAAGGAATACAATCTTGCCATTTGTGACAACATGGACAGACCCCCAGGGCATTATGCTAAGTGAAATAAGTCAGAAAGAGAAAAACAAATACTAGATGATGTCTCATGTGAAATCTTAAAAATGTATGTAAAAAACTCATCTATATGAAAAACAGATTGGTGTTTGCTAGATGTGGGTGGGGCTTCAACTACTGCAGGTAGGAGGAGGGGAGGAAAAACGTTAAGTTTTTTTTAGTTTAAATAAACTGAATAAAAAACTTTAAAATAAGGGAATTATCACCATTATATATACTTAAAAAAAGCAGATAATGGTCCTGGCTAGTATGGCTCAGTGGATTGAGTGCCGGCCTGTGAACCGAAGGGTTGCCAATTCGATTCCCAGTCACGGTGTGTGCTTGGGTTGCAGGCAGGTCCCCAATAGGGGGGGCACATGAGAGGCAACCACACACTGGTGTTTCTGTTCCTCTCTTTCTCCATCCTTTCCCATCTCTAAAAATACAGTACACGAAATCTTTAAATAAATACATAAATAGTGGAAAATAAAATCCTATCTCTGAGGCATCAGACCTGTTCTAACCCCCAGTATCTTCACCCTGATATCCACTATGAAATAGCCCTGGGTCAGTGGAGACAGGGCTGGGGTGAGTGTATTGATCTGATGACCCGATTCTCATAGGAGAGACTCCTAACACCACCTTTGCTCTCTTAACTCATTGCTCTGGTTCTTCCAACTTCAGTCGCCTTTGAATTTAAGTGGTTGTGAGGGACAGGAGGGTACCTGACCTTCCTGCATGTGTCATAGTTAACTCTGGTAGGTATTACTTGTGGACTTACTGGCTATGGGGTGAAATCAGTGCCTCATGGAATGACTTTGAAAGTCATAGGCCAAGAAATCCTAGCTTTAAAAAGAGAAAAACTCAGTATTTTCTCCTTCCATTTACATAAGGAACAGATGAACACAGAAGCCTTCTGTGAAGCACGGTGCTTGAGCAGAGGGGACGACGGTGCGCCCGTGGTGTCCTGCCACTTGTCCAGCTGTTTGAGCTGATGACTCTCAATCTCTAAAGTTTGTTTTTCTTGAGCCTAAGTTCCTGATCTTTAAAATAAATGTTATACTATTTCCAAGACTCTATCTGAGTACAATTTCTATAAATCTATAATTTTAAAACATTTTTGCCAAGAAAGGGGTGAATAGTAAAACACCTTTACATCAAAACTTATTATTACCCAGATATCAATATTTACCAGACATAATTAATTACCTTGAACTATATCAAACATATTAAACAAACATGGGTTGTAGCACAGAAAAAAAACACATGTGCCCTACCTACATTTTATAGTAGTAAGAGCAGGGGTTTTACAGTCTGATAAACCAGCTTTAATTCCTGGCTTGTCCACTTAGCTCTGTAATCCTGGACAGATTACCGTATTTTTAGGACTATAAAATGCACCTGGCCATAAGATGCACCTAGATTTTAGTGGAGAAAAATAGGAAAATAAAACTTTAAAGCAAAACGTGTGGTAAAATATTTAATAACCTGTGACTCTGCTCCACCACCCCCTCCACAGAGAGCCAGATAAGCTATATTCGGACTGTAAGATGCACCCTCATTTTCCTCCCAAATTAGGGGGGTGCATCTTATAGTTAGAAAAATATGGTACTTATACTCTCTGGGACTTGGTTTATTCCTTGTAAAATGGGAATAATCTTTTAGAGTTGCTGTGAGGTTTTCTTCAGGACTTATGCACTGTTTCTTCAGGAGGGAATAGTTTTCTCATTCATCTCTGCTTGGTACACTTGTTCCCTTCTTTAAGACCCAGTCAAATGCCACTTGTTACCACCTCTTTGATCCAACAGTCCCACTTCTGGGTATCTAGTCTAGTAAAATACTTGTACATATACATAAAGAGGCAGGTGTGATGATAATTATTGAAGATCTTTTTATAATAGCAAAAAATTGGAAACCAAAATGTTCATCAACAGAGGACTGAATAAATACACTGTGGTAATCCACACTATGGATATATGCAATGGTTAAGAGTTACATGTGTTGTCATGGAAAGCTTCTGAATACCTAAGTGAGAAAAAATTACAGAAAAAATGCACTGTAGATCATAATGTAATATAAATAATATATATATAATGTGAGCTATAACAGATTTTTATTATATATAATATATGTAGTATTTTATGTGCACATTTATTTATGTACACTTATAGAAAAGTGGAAGAATCGGTAACAAACTATATCTGGGGAGGAGAGTAGGATGGTGTATAAAGGAGACTTACAGTGTTCTATTGTTTATTTTCATATAGTAAAACGAAAAGGCACCTTTTCCCTAACTTTCTCCAACTCAGGCAGAGTCAGTTCTTCTTTCCATTGCAGTCTCACTAGACAGGGCTGTGTGTGGCGACTGTTTACTTGTGTCTATCTCCCCCCAAAATGGAAAAGAGAACTGCAGAGGCTGTATCCTCAACAGGAGGCCTGGCTGGTGAGACGCTTAATAAATGGTTGTTGAACAAAAGTAAAAATAAACAACGAAGAATCTGCACAGAAAAAAAAAGCACAACACACTACAGAGGATGTATCGACAGTTAAAATGAACACTTTGGAAGGGAAGAGGGTGAGACAGTGTTCCGCCAGTCCCCTGGCCTTGAATCCACAAATAACAGTTATTGCTGAACGAGCACGAAAGTAAAGAGAAAGGGCTGGAAGCTTGCTCTGAGTTCTGGACCTTATATCTCCACTGACTACCTTTCCTCCGTCTTCCCTTCAGCCGTTTGTAAAATTAGCGGTGTTACTTTTACAGCTTTAACACGCTATAATCCTAAATGAATGTTTCATCAAGCTATAAGCGCTGCTTCCTAGTGGGCCACAAGTGGAACTCGCCAGGCTGGGCTCGACATTACGTGCCTCCTGAGCAGGAGCTGGCCATCTGGCTTTCCCAGAGTCGAATATTCACCTTGGTTGCTCAATCAAGCACCACTACCTTTATAAATGCCTTCCTACACGAGCTCCCCGGAGCAGTGTTTACTGCGCTCCCGGCATCCCCCAGAGCAGCCTAAGACTCCGGTAACCCGGCAACCGCAGGAACAAGAACTGCAGGGCGCTACATCCCCGGTGCCGAGAGGAATGGGTTTGACCTTTAAGTGAAAGTCTAATGAAGCGAGCGCCCCAACCCATCCCATCCCTTCCCTGGGGACCGAAGTCAGGGCCCTTCCTCTCCCCAGGGACCGCCGAGCTCACCCCACAATGCAGCCTCCGCGGACCCGAGGATCACGCGGTGCATCCTTCCAAACAGCGACCTCTGCAGCATCATTACCAGCTCGCGCACGTCCTACTAGTGACCGTTTTCTCCCTTTGCTTCGTCTGTGCCCTGCTCCTCCCCCTGCTTCTCTTGCAGCTTCTCCCGCTCTTGGAGGTGCTCAAGCTCCTCCTGTTCCTCCTCCTCCACCCGCTGCCCTGGAGCAGTGTCAGACTCTTGGGCGCCCTCCAGCCTCGCGCCGGCCGAACCGGGTAATGCCACAAGGCTTAATCGCTGACCAAAACGTGCCCTGCTTTAACGTTTAAAATCTTTTGGAAAGCAACTAAGGATTGGCTTTCTTCTTCTTTCTTCTTTCTTCTTCTTCTTTCTTCTTCTTCTTTCTTCTTCTTCTTCTTCTTCTTCTTCTTCTTCTTCTTCTTCTTCTTCTTCTTCTTCTTCTTCTTCTTCTTCTTCTTCTTCTTCTTCTTCTTCTTTTTTTTTTTTTATTAAGGAGAGACAACGTTTGAAAGTAGAACGTAGTAAATATACCAAAAGATAACATTTAAAACTTTAAAGTAAACCCATTTCTCCAATTTGCTTTTTAATAGGATTCTAATACATTGGATTAAAGCAAACTACATGGATGCTCTTCTTAGAATTGCTCTGAACTCCAATAACTAGTTCAATTGATGCCCGTATTAGGGTAATCTCATACTGACATCTTTTCCTCACAATTTGATAATAACTTTGTCAGGGTGAGGTGCAATTATTTTTTAAAATGTAGTCTCCAACTGCTACTCTAACACATTACCACAAGTTTACTGTTTTAAAACAATACAAATTAATTATGTACAGTTCTGTAGGTCAGAAGTTTCATCTAGCTAAAATTAAGGTGTCATCAAGCTTGTATTCATTCTGAAGGCTCTGGGAGAGAATTTTTAAATTACTTTTCCCATCTACTAGAGGCTGTCTGCTCTCCTTGGCTAGCGGTTCCCTCCCCCATCTTCAAAGCCAGCAGTTTAACATCCTCAAATCTCTCTCTTTGATCTACTTCTGATCTCACATCCCCCTTTTTCCCTCTGATCCTCTTGCCTCCCTTTTATAAGGAGTTTTGTGATTAAACTGGAACCACTAAAATAATCCAGGATAATCTCCCATGTCAAGATTCTTAATGTAGTCCTATCTGCTAAGTCGTTTTGCCATGTAAGGTAAAATATTCACAGGTTTTGGGAATTGGAACACCTTGCGGGGCGCGTTGTTCAACCTATCATGTAAAGTTTCTTATTACCTTGTTTTAAATTTATTCTCAACTTGGTTTTTAAGCATAATAAAAGCTATATTTAATTGTAAATGCACTTACAGTGGGAAATTTAAAATTATTTTTCTAAGTGACATTATTAAAGTATGTGTCCAGGGAATAATTTAATTAAGCATGCATTTTAAATTGTTCAGTTTTCAATAATTTAATATTTAATAAAACCACTTCATATTTCTATACCAATGGCATCACATACAATTGTGTTTTTCCAAATAATTTTGTATCAGTGGAAAATTGTTACAGTGGGAAATTATAGCCCAGCCCACCGTTCTTTTGACATTTTTTCTGTAAATGCTGACTCTGACTAATATGTAGCTTGTAGATAAATAGCATGTAGGCATCCCCGCTACGGAAGATTTTCTGACCTTCAACCATGGATCCAGGATGACGTGAAGCCAGGATGACTAAACCAGGATGATGCACACTGGACCATCACTTGCCATATTGGGATGGACTGCGCTAGTCTCCATGTGGAGATATTTCAACCTTCTCCCTTGATCGCTTTGTTTTGCTCCCCTCTTCCTCCATATAAAAAACCTCTACCTCCACTGAAATGGGGAGGTGGGCTTTAAGACATGAGTACCCCAACTTCGAGGTGGCCAGCACCTGAAATTAAATCACTCTCCTATACACCAGCAACTGCCTCTCCAATATTGGCTTTTGTAGCAGCAGGCAGCTGGACCTGCATTTCAGTTACAGTTTGAAGCTTAGCCATAGTTTCTGTGTAATTTATTTTGTAGATTAACTTTGAAACAAGATATCATTATCTGTTGCAGATTCGTGGACTCTTCATGGCATCCCTGAGCTATCCTGAATATGTGTTATAAACCACAGGTTGTATGACATAAACATGCAAATAATGTTCACGGCCTCCATGATCATGTTTAATGATTTATGCTTTGGTGAGAACATGTGTTACTAAACAATATTTTCCAATGTTCATGACTAATTATTTGAGAAACATGTTTCTGTAAGATTTTTTTCTGAAAAGGTGAATATGTCACCTTATACCTAGCACAGTGCCAAACTTGGTTTATTTAAGTGTAGTTAGAGCAACAAGATCTTGTCAAAAGAGACTGCTCCTCAGATAAGTGTCCCAGTTCTTTCTTCAGAAAGAGTCAGCAAAGTTTTTAGTGGGCTGAAAGGGAAAGAAATCATTTAACTTTTTGGGAGAAGTCTACTAATGCTAAGTTGATATGAATCAGTATTTTCAAACAAACACTTAACACTTTTTGAAATAGTAAACAGCTGATTTTATACAAATTTGCATTTTTATTTATGTTTTGTCATAATGTCCTTGCACTAACACTGAAAATATATTTACTGGGTACTGGGAACTATTTAAAAATTATTTCCTTTCTTTAAGAAGTAAATTTTACTTTCAATTAAAAGATAAATAATTTGAAGAGTATCAGAAATAGAAACTTAGTATTAGACAATTTTCTGTAATTCATTCCAAGTTTTTGGAATGGCAATTGAAATCTCTGGAGATTTTGGTTTAAGATTGCATCTTCTGGAAATAAAGATAGCTTTGGAATTTTGTTATTTTGAAGAACAATTTAAATATTTTATGGTTGTTTGCATAATCTCTAAATTTGCTTTTATGAGGCTGAGAAGCTAAATTTCTATATTCTAATTCAACACCCCCGTAAATTTGATACCAATATATACTTTCCAAAACAGCTCATACTGTAATAAAATGTTATATGCAAATTATTTAGATTTGTTCAAGTTTGCATGTCTTCCCCCTTATGTCCTGTTTCAGATCTGATGTTAAAATAAATGAAAACTATTAATTTATGAAGTATAGAATTTAGACTTCAAAATTACACCACAACACTATATTTACTGGGGAATATTTTCTTTTCCCTAGGGGGAGGAAATTTCCTTACTGCAAAACATAGTTCTATAGCCCTGTACCTAACACAGTGACTAGCATATGTATTTGCTTATATTTGTGGAATGAATGGTTCCCATACACAAAACATAAATATTTAGCAATCTTAGTCAAGTTCTCTACATGGAAATAATTTTAACTACTCCTTAAGAAATGAATTAGAGTTTTTAAGGAAAAGTCACACCTTTTGGGCTTATCTCTGGTATCTTTTGACTCGTAAACCAAGGCACTATCCATAAGGCCAAACCTGACCCCTGCCGAAGAACTGTGAAAGATAGCAAGACTTGAAGAATTTACCCGTAACTAGCATTGATGTTTGCATGCCATTCTGATGCCTGAGGGCTCACAGGGAGACCAAGGGAGGCCACATCCTAGTGACAGCCCAAATTCTGGACACTGTCCAGACACGCAGGAAAAAATTCAAGATCAAGACAGATTCAGCAAAGCACAACAAACGTATTAAGGTGACAGTACATACTCAAGGAGAAGGAGAGCATGGGCGAACTCAGGAAGTGAGCCTACCAAGGGGTCTGGGTGGAGGTTTCTTTCTATCAGCTATGGGCAAGGGGAGCGAGTGGGGGTGGCTCGTGGTCCCCGACGCCAAGGGGAGCGAGTGGGGTGGGCTTCGTCGCGCAGCTGGTCGCAGTCCCTCCTCTCTGGAGGGTGGCTGTCCAGAGAGCAGAGCGGCCTGAAAACTGCCATGTAGGTCAACGTGGCTGCTAACTCTGGCTGAGACTGGTTTTCTTTTGTATCAAATATTTCTTACCCCAGGAAATGGGGGGGGGGCAGTAAGGGGACTGGTGTTTAGCCACACGTCACACCCGAAGTGCCCTGACCTAAAAGTGCAGGGGAGGAGTAGAGCCCGGGAGGCTTCTGTTCCTTAAGCTAACTTTCCTGCCTCAGTTCAATCAAAATATTTTCAAACTACCTATTTTACTAAGCAGGTGCAATGTGCAGATCACCTGAAGGGACCATCAAAATCCCAAGAGGTATAAGTGTAGATCAGGAAATTTCCAGCAAGGAAGCGAGAAAGATAAGACAATGATAATGAAAAAATCAAAGTGATGTCTGGTGGCTGTTAGACGAGACTTAATCGTACGGAAGAGTGTGACACAGGGAAGTAGGAAGCTGTCCCAGCCGGCGCCCGGCAACAAGTGAGGCTTAATCCCGACTCAGGGAAGACCAGAGCCCTGCACTCCAGGCTACTTATTCGAATCCAGCTGGGAGTCCACCACTATCATTTTAAGATTCAGGGTCGCCTACCAGGCTGAGCTTACCGGGCCCCGCCCACCTAAGAGAACTTTGCGAGCGAACAGGGCCCGCCCACTCCACGCCCCACCCCGGGCGCCGGGCCGCGCGAGGGGCCGCCCAGCCCGCTCTGACAGCCCGGCTGTCACACGAGGCCCCGCCCCTGCCGCCCGGAGGGACGGCCGCGCAGGCGCAGTCGCTTGTGGTTCAGACGCAGAGGCTTGGCCCCGCGGGGTGAGTTGGGGGCTCGGTGCTGGGGTCGCACAGTTTCTCGTTCTTGGTTTTCGCAACCCCAGCCCCAGGGGGCGATGCGCCTGGGAGAGAGACCCCACGCCCTCCGTGTTCCCAGTCCTTGGGGGCGCCAGGCGGTCACCTAGGGCCGCGTGATCGCGGCCGGCCCGGTGTCAGGGCGGCGGCCCCGGGAAGCCCGGGGAGGCGCGGGGTGGAGCGGCGCCCCCGCCTCACCTCCGCCGAGGCGCGCGGGCGCGGGCACCTATCCGGCCTCCCTCCGGCGCTCTCTCCTCAGTAACGCATTTCCTCTAAAGAAACTTGGGATGTGTTTGTTAGTGACGGGAGGGCACGTGTCTCACCACGGGCTTCTGGCACCGTGCGGCGGGGGAAGCCCTGGAGACGGGCCGTCTGGGTCCAGATCTCCACCCCGCGGCCTGGCTCGGGGACGCTGGCGGGTCACTCAGCCTCAATGTGCTTCAAGTTCTTCAACTGCAGAAGGGGAAAATAATAGTAACCTATCTCCTAAGGTGGTCGTGAGGATTAATTAAGTGGGTTTAGGATTTTCGAAGTGCTTAGAACTGAGTGTGATGCTCAGTAAAACGATGTAAGTATGTTCATCTTTTTGAGTCTAGTATCTAAAAGGTGAGCTCTGTCCCAGTCCCCCCTCACTCTCCCCGCCACTGAAAGTAATTGCCCAAGAGTAGGAAAACAAAAAGGGTGTTTTTTTGTTTGTTTTCTTTTTAGAGTTTGCTATTTTTAAAAAGGCTGCTTGCAAGGTTAGCCCCTGTTTGGCATTTGGGAGCAGTATGGTTTGTGCTGAAGTTACCAGCTCCCTTAAAAATTCTGGGCTGGGGAGTCTGTAACAGGCTTCCCTGAGCAATAACATTGTGCAGAGGCATTGCTCGATTTGACCCCTTCTGAGAGGGAGTGTTAAGGAAGCCTGCAAATGGCAGACTTCACATGTATCTTTTTCCATTATGATCAGGCTGTGTGTTCATACTACATTGCAGTAAAAAACGTTCCCTAATAGTACAACTAACTATATGCTGAGGGTTTTTTGTTGTTGTTTGTTTATTTATTTGTTTTTGAGTCCTTCTAGTGAATCTCCAAATGTGAGGGTGCTCTTGGAACTCCCCAGACACTGTTGATGATAGAAAATATTTGAAGCTCTAATAATGGGACTCACTTCTTTTTGTTTTAAAGGGAAACTGAAAAAGAAATCTACACAGATCTGTGATTGCTAAACAGTGGGTTACTGTCCAAAATGATTCTGTAGACATACTGTGTATGTCAGAAAAACCACTGGAAATTGACTTAACATTGTCAGGTTAAGTTTGAGTTAATGTTTTTGAAAAAAGGCCCAGGTCTTTTACAGGTTCTTTTTGTTTGTTTGTTTGTTTGTTTGTTTTTAAATTCTGCAGCATCATCTATGTGTTAATGCTTTTTTTTTTTAAATCAAGAGTTTATCTGTACAGTTGGGTAAAAATATGACCAGCTTTTTATGAGCCATTTTCATCCCTGGATTCTTTTAGTTGCATCTGTCTCTTTTCAGGACCCAAGTTAAAATAGTTGGAGGTAAGAATGTAAGTTTGGGAAGGGAAATATCAGATTTGTCATTCGATTATGTCTCTTTCAGTAAAGTAGAAAACTAGATTGTATTTTAAGGAGTATGGAGATGGGGGAGTTGGAGGTTTGGGAGAGTAAAAAAGGTTTCGAATGGCTGTGTGAGGAGAAGGTAAATTGACCAGGTACAGCAGATAATGGGATGACTTGATCCCTTTGAGATTATGTATGAATTTAGTGGACACACTCCACGTTCTTACAAGACTTTCTCCAGCCTGTGTGGATGCAGACATCGAGTAAGTGGTTAATTGGGTTCATCTAGGACTGGGGTTCTGTTAGAGGGGTGATATACTCATTCAGGTTGTACACATATATTCTGTTCCTCCTGCATACACAATAAGGCTGCGCTCTTTGTACATACCCCTACCCCTTGTCTACTTGAAATTAGATGTGGCTCTATGACTTGTTTTGGCCACTGAAATATGAGCAGGCATGACAGGTGTCAGTTCCAAATGAAGCTTAAAGAATCAGCACTCCCATTTGCCACGCCCCTGTTTCCTTGCCTTGCTGTGGTGAACCGTGATCATAGTGATCAGTGATCGTGGAAGCGCTTGTTGAGATGCAGCCTCTTGTCACCCTGGGCACTAAGACGAGTAGGAGTGGTTGGTCAAGCAAACTGAAAGAACTTGAAGTTGTGATCAGAGAATGGAAGACTTGAATTAGTGATTTTGCAAGGTGGAACTATAGGGCTAAGCTGATGGGGAAGGTTGGAGGGAGAAGGCATTCAGAAACAACGTGGTGGTCAAGGAAACTCGAAGGCCTTGTGCATCTGTGACTCTTAAGGCATAATTTGTTATGGCTGAGTTCAATTTGATGATCCTTGGACTTAAAGAAATGACTCATAAAATGGTAAATTCAAAAGCTCCCTTATTTGAGATATTGTATGATTAAATCAAGATTCAGAATTTAGGGGGAAGGGCTTCCTGGATACCTCCAGACAGCTGGGAAGAGGGCTCCCTCTTTCCTTGGGACCACAAACCCATGGGCCCCTGAGGACTTCCGCCAAGATGGAGGTGTAGGTGGAAGGACTGTGCCTTCTTGCACAACTAAGTTTAAAAACAACAAAGTTTTAGCGACAAAAATGCAGCCAAACCACAGAAAATTGAACTACATGGAAGTCTGACAACAATGAACCCTTCAACCAAACTGGTAAGAGGGGCAGAGCCAGCAGCAGAGCGGGGTCGGGCAGGAAAGATCCACCAGACCGACCCAGGAGTGCGACCCATGTGCACCAGCAGCCGTGGGCGGATCCCAGGTGTGGAGAAGTGGGTGGACCCACTGAGGGCTGATCGTGGTCACACATTTGCGTGCAGATAAACCTGTGAAGGAGCGAGCAGTGAGACGCACCACGCAAGCCCCAGTGGCAGGAAGCAGCAGAGGGAACCGCCACTGTCCCTCTCTGACCCCGCCAACACATACAGTGTCACAAACCAGTGACCTGGGTGGCCCCGCCCTGGTGAACATGTAAGGCTCCGCTCCTCATACGTAACAGGCATGAACAGATCAAAACATGGCTCAAGAAGAACTCAGAGCCCCAGAGCCCGTAAATCTAAGTGACCAAGAAATAGCCAAACTTTCAGATGCACAGTTCAAAACACTGGTGATCAGAATGCTTACAGAACTGGTTGATTTTCGTCACAAATTAGAGGAACATATGAAGGCTAAACTAATTGAAATGAATGGAAATGCGCAGGAAACCAATAGTAATGGAAAGGAAACTGGGACTCAAATCAAAAGAGTAGACCAGAAGGAGGAAAAAAATGACCAAACAGAAAAGGATGAAGAAACAAGAACTCAAAAAAAATGAGGAGAGGCTTAGGAACCTTCAGGACATCTTTAAACCTTCCAACATCCGAATTATAGGGGTACCATAAGGGGAAGAGGAACAGCCATGAGCAGAAAACTTATTTGAACAAATAATAAAGGAGAACTTCCCCAATCTGGCAAAGGAAGTAGAATTCCAGGAAATCCAAGAAGCTCAGAAAGTCCCAAAGAAGTTGGACCCAAGAAGGAACATACCAAGGCACATCATCATTATATTAGCCAAGATTCAAATGAAGGAGACAATCCTAGAAGCAGCAAGAGATAAGGGGACAGTCGCCTACAAAGGAGTTCCCATCAGACTGTCAGTGGATTTCTCAAAAGAGACCTTACAGGCAAGAAGGGGCTGGAAAGAAGTATTCCAAGCGATGAAATCCAAAGACCTACATCCAAGATTGATCTATCCAGCAAAACTTTCATTTAGAATGGAAGGACAGATAAAGTGCTTCTCAGATAAGATCAAATTCAAAGAGTTCATCATCACCAAGCCCTTATTATATGAAATGTTAAAGGGACTTATCTAAGAAAAAGAAGATAAAAAAATGAACAATGAAAGGACAGCAAACTTACAGTTATTAAGAACCACACCTAAAACAAAAGCAAACTAAGAGGACAGCTAGATCAGGAGCAAAACCATAGAAATGAAGATCACATGGAGGGTTAGCAACAGAGGAGTAGGAGAAGGAGAAGGGGGGAGAAGGTACAGAAAATAAATAGCATAGATGGAAGGTAGAAAATAGGGGGAGGGCAAGAATAGTATGGGAAATAGAGAATCTAAAGAACTTGAGACGTGGTCATAAACTAAAGGGTGGATGGTGGGGGAGGGGTGTGGAGGGGAATGAAGGGGGGAATAGAGCAACTGTAATGGCATAATTAATAAAACATTTAAAAAAGATTCAGAATTACTTAATTGAAAGATTCTTTCACCTTGATCAATAAGGGCAAATAAACAAATAACCATGAAAATTGCAGTGTAGCTTAGCTGTGGAACAAGGTGATATTAGGTGGAATTTAGGCTATGCTACTTTTATTTTTATATTTTTAAAGATTTTGTTTATTTATTTTTAGAGAGAGGGCAAGGGAGGGAGAAAGAGAGGGAAAGAAACATTGATGTGTGCAAGATACATAGATCTGTTGCCTCTTGCACACCCCCAAGTGGGGACCTGGCGCACAACTCAGGCATGTGCCTTGACTGGGAATTGAACCATAGACCTTTCGGTTCACAGGCTGGCACTCAGTCCACTGAACCACACCAGCCAGGGTGCTGAATTGCTTTATAGAGACTCCAAAGTCTGTAGTGGTTTTAAAAAATGCTTAACTGGGATCTTGTTAGACAGGTGGAATCTCAGATTTTGAGCCAGCCTTGTACTCAAAAGCTACATTTTAGCAAAATCTCCAAGGTGACTCATGCACTGCCCTCATATCTTAAAAAAGCCAGTGTCTTGCCCTGGCTGGTATGGCTCAGTGGATTGAGTGCTAGTCTGGGAAGGAAAAGCTTGCCAGCCCAACACCCCATTAGGACACATGCCTGGGTTGCAGGCCAGGTCCCTAATTAGGGGCATGCAGGAGGCAACTGATTGATCTATATCTCTCACACATCAATGTTTCTCTCTCTTTCTCCCTCCCTTTCCCTTTCTCTAAAAAGAAATAAAGTTATTAAAAAAATTTGCCAGTGTCTTGGGAAAGTAAGGCATTTTTAACTCCATTTTTTGTTGGGAAGAACAGTTGTAGATTAAAAGATATTAAAGTGACATAACCACTAAAAGGTACAAGCCTTGATTGAATCCTAAGTTACAAAATTGGTATAGAAATACTTTTGGGTCAGCTGAGGAAATTGGGTTATGATAGGATATGAGATAATACAAGGCACAGGTGGCAAACACAAGGCCCGTGGGACACAAGTCCATCTTGTTTTATCCAGCTCAGCACCTTGTTTCTACCTGGCAGCAGTGCTGAGCTCTTGCTTAACTGTTAAGGAGTAGTTACAGTTACACAGTCCTAAAATTACATTCGGCCCTTTGAAGGCAACTGTGTGGCAGATGTGACCCCTGGGAGAAAATGAGCTTGACACCTCTGATGCAAAGGAATTATTAATTTTCTTAGGTGTGATAATGTGATTATATAGAATATTGTTATTATTAAGAGATACATACTGTCTATAACTTTCAAATAGGTTAGCAAAAATGAACATACATGTATATATGTATCTTGATATTTACATAAATAAGTATGCAAAATGTTCTAGATGTGGAATCTAGATAGTATATGGGTATTCATCATACTGTTCTTTTGACTTTTGTGGAAGTTTACATTTTTTTATAATAAAACAGTGGGAAAATACAATAGTTTTAACAGATAGAAATTTATTTCTCAGAAGTCTAGCTCTAGGTTATACAACGAAGATGGGTGGCTCTTCTGTGCTTGGCACATGGCTTTACCAACTCTTACTATCTTCTAGCTCGTGGGACAGGAGAAGGGGCAGGGGGACACAAGACCCAGCAGTGGCACTTGTTCCATTGATGAGAACTTCAGTTTTTTTCATTTGCTTACACAGCATGTATCTAGGGAGTAGTTAGTAAAAGTCAAATGTAAAGTGTCATTTGTATATTGGTTTAATAAAGATTTTTTTGGTTCTAGCTGACTCTCCCCTGTTCTTCCTCTGTTGATTTAGTAGACCAATTACAGTTGAAGTAGTATCAATTTTAATATGCACTAAGTAAAATACATAAAATTTTAATTCTGAGGATTAAACTGTCTTCATTTCCTCCCCTCACCTTTTCAGTGAGTAACAGATGCGGGTGAAAGAGCCGTCCACAGTTCTAGCTGAGAAAGCCAGAAGAAGTAGGAGGCCTCCTGTACCTCACGATGAGGACTCTTCAGATGACATTGCTGGTAAACTGACATCTACCATCCTGAAGTGCTCTGCAGAAAAGAAACAATATGTTTTTAAATTTATTTTTCAATTACAGTTTACATTCAATATTTTGTATTAGTTTCAGGTGTACAACACAGTGGTTAAACAATATGCTTTTAATTAATAAATTCTTTTCTCTTTATTTTTACCATTTTCTGTGTGAACGTTAAAAATCAGCTGTCTAGTTCAAACAAAATGCTGTTGGTGTTTATATTGAGATTTTGTTTAGTTTATAAAGTAATTAGAATTGACTTATTTTTGTTGTTGTCCTGTTTCTCATGGACTTCGATAATTTGCTTTCTTACCAGTTTATATTTTCATTTAAAAAGATGTTTTTAATATACTTCAGTTTTTACATGGTTTTAACCTAGATAGTGTTTCAGGATTGCTAGATCGCAATATTGAAGGAAGTCTAAAATTGAAGGAATTTTATCTTTAAATATTCTATTCTGTTAATAAGATTTTCTTCAGGGATTCTGATTATCATTAGAATAATCATTATCATTAACTCCTTTGCCTGTCTTCCATAATTAATGTTTTTCCTGAAAGCCTCTAAAACTGTTTCCTTTTCATTTTGCTTGCTGTTTTTATTTTTATTCTGTATTGTCTTTTCAGCGCTGTCTGTGTCACTTTATGGGAGGCTTTAGTTTTGCCTTCATTTTTGTGGTTTTATTATTTTTTTCTTCCTCTTCTTTCCTGAACTCTGCCTGTCACTTCCTACTGATTTGCCACCTCATGCTTGAGTGTTTGCTTCTGTTTTCTGTGTTTATTACACGGCAGTGATTGCTCTGCCCTGATTTTCTATTTCCTTTCTTCCCTTCACTTACATTATCTTACCATAGAATTTGCATCTGATTTTCTTTGATTACTCATTCTTTGATGTAAGGTTGCATTTCTTGGGCCAGTAAATTTTTTTTTTATTATTTTAAATCCTCATCCAAATATATGTTTATTGTTTGAGAGAGAGAGAGAGATATCGATGTGAAAGAGAAACATCTTGGTTGCCTCCCACATGTACCCTGTGACTGGGGAGAGGACCTGCAACCTAGGCATGTGCCCTGACTAGGGAGAGGACCTGCAACCTAGGCATGTGCCCTGACTGGGGAGAGGACCTGTAACTTTTTGGTGTATGGCACCACGCTCCAACCAACTGAACCACCTGGGCAGGGATGTGTGTGTATCTTGATAGAAACAAAATTTTTTAAAATGCTAGATACATTGTAGCTACTCAATAAATAATCTCCTTTATTTTATTTATTTATTAAACTTTTATTTTTGAACTAATTTTAGATTTACAGGAAGTTACAAAGAAATATACAAGGGGGTCCCATTTACCCTTCACCTAACCTTTCCTGATTTAAAGTATTGTATTTCTGTAGTACAGTATCGGAACCAGAAACCTCACATTGGGGCCATCCTTAGAGCTTATTCAGATTTCACTAGATACACATGCATTTGTGTGTGCACACACACATTCATAGCTTTATGCAGTTTTATTACATGTGTTGCTTTCTATAACCACCACAATGAAGCTACTTGACTGCTAAATCACCCCAGGGAGTTTATGTCTGTCTATTGCCACTCTTTCTCCTTGTCTGCAGCCTTTGGCAACCACCAATCTGTTCTCCAACTCTGTAATTATGTTATTTCACAAATGTTTTATAAATGGAATCATGTAATATGTCTCCTTTTTGAGTTATTTTTTTTTAACCCTGGCTGGTGTAGCTCAGTGGATTGAGTGCGGGCCTGCGAACCAGTTATTTATTTTTTTTTTTAATCTCACTGCTTTTCAGTCACAGCATTTCAATGTCAGTGACTTTGCTTACTGATGGTAGCATTTTGGTTTAGCAGAGAAAATGCTCAAGTTTTGCTCTGTCTCATTCAGTAGGTTTCACTTGCCAACATGTCACTCATGCTGTCAATGTGAATCATGTGAAAAAAGCAATAGCTGAGAATCCGTGGTCAGTTTGCTCAGAATGTTTAAAAGAAAGAAGATTCTGCGATGGACAGCCCGTACTTTCTTCGGATACTTGGTTGTGCCTCAAGTGTGGTTTTCAGGTGAGAAAAATGTTTTTTATGTGTGTTTGCCTTAAATATTTTCCTTAATGCTTATTTTTAGTTTGATTGTTAGTAATGTTTAGAACTTAAGGTAAATTTACTCCATGTTTTGGTAGAGCTCTCTAAGGCTGAGCTTAGAAATGTTTAAGGTGAAGTAAATGGTACTTTTTGTTCAGAAAGTGTGGTTTATGAAAACTTGAAAGGAAATCTAACCCACTAGCAATGGTTCTCATATCTAGACCTGTCTTTACCTATTTCTATTTGTAAGGTTTTTTTTTTTAAGTTTGAGTGTGTTTTAAATTTTGGTTAATTTGAAACCAATGTACTTGTAAATCATACAAATAGTATTCTGCTCATCTTTAGGGATGTGGTAAAAACTCAGAAAGCCAGCATTCATTGAAGCATTTCAAGAGTTGGAGAACAGAGCTTCATTGTATTATAATTAGTCTGAGCACATGGATTATATGGTAAGTTAGATTTTGTACTTATGCCCACTATAAAAATATCCTTTTTTAGTTTCGAAGCTAAAATAATTTAAGATATTATGCTAGCTTATGTTTTTTAGCCTGAATACAACCTATGGAAAACATGAGTACCGATATTAAATAAGAAAAAAATTAGTCATCCCTCTACTTCAACATTTTCTTTGTATAGTCAGGAAACATTCCTTCCAGTTTTTTTGTAATGAACTCCTAATATAGGACCCGAAGTTCTAGAGGAAGAAGGTACTTGAATCAGTCAAGTGGGTTGGTGATTTTCTTCAAGGAAAAGGAAACTTCTTAGGTGATTCTGTTAGTACATGTAACTTCGGTTGGGAATCAAGTCCATTTCCCTCACTTTATGTACAAGGACCCTGGATACCATTTGCCCTTTTGTGATTACAAAACAAAAATCCAGGCACCAGTACAAGTCTTTTGATTCCCTGTCTCTTCTCAGCACACACATTGTTTCAGTGGTTAGGGAGACACTGTTGAAAAGTTTTCAGTGAATTTTATAACAAAAGTTTTCTATTGGAATTTATAGATGCCTAGAGTTCCTTAAATGAATTTTCAGGAGTCTTCAAGTTTTCTTTAAGACAAAAATATTTTAACTTTCTGTTTTTATTTTAGGTTTCTAAAATCAGGATATTTTGGCCTATAGCACAGATTATCATCTTATAATTTAACTCAGCCACAGGGTTGGATGATTGCTACATTTGTGTTTTTGTTTTTGGTCCCAAGTAATAGTATCGGGGAGAAGGAGGGAAGAATAGAGGGAAGTTAATATGCATTGGAGCCAGGAGAGTGAGGGATGATGCCTCATGTGGCAGATCAATAAACATTCCTCTGTAGCCTTAAAAGAAGTGATGACCTCAAATTGTGGGGTGACTCAGAATCATTGGGAGGGCTCACTAAAATACATCGCTGGGTCCCAGGCCTACAGATTCTGATTTGGTCGTTTTTGGCAGGGCCTGAGAAATTGCCTCTCTATAGTGTCCAGGTGTTGCCAGTCCTGTTGGTCTGGGGACCACAGTTTGAGGATCACTGAAATAGGAAAAAGTGGTGGGAGAACTGAGTGGTAGCTGATAGAATAGTCCCATTTCAAGTCAATCTGTGTCAGGATTTATGTTGTAGCTCTTAGGATCATAATTATGGTCTGATAATTTCATGACTTAATTTCAGCAGAAAAGCATTACTAGTTATAATCTAATTAATTTTGTAATTTTTGTTTTTATATTTAATTACATAACTTTGCTTTCAAAAGAAGGGTGATGATTTTATTGAGTTTTGTGAGTGGATGTGTTAGAATTATGATGAAAATAATTTAAATCACATTTGGGGGTATTGCAAGAGAATTATTTCTCTTTTAAAAGAAGAAATTCAAGTTTGTTACTTGCACCAATATAGAATTTAGAGATCATGGCTGTTTTCTTTTCCCTTTGATATTTTTTAAAGTTTAAAAATTTTTAAATTTTCTTAATTTTCCCCCATCTAATTCTTAAATATTAAAAAGTTTAACAATTTCAATAGAAAACTTTACTAATTTGGATGAAAGAGAGGGCCAGCCTGAACTAACGAAAAACCTGAAAAAAGAAAGGAATGTTATAGATTTGATAATTATGGCTAACAAAGTATTACTAGACTGTGGATTTGATACTGCTTTAACAGATATTAATTATTATTAGCACAGTCATTTTGTACCTCTGACTTCAGTTAGAATCACACAGGTGGAATTTTAAAACCCTGTAGGTGCCAGTGGTCCTCTATTAAGTCAGGGCTTCTGTATTTTTAAGTTCCATTGGTGATTCTCACGTCTAACCAAGGTTAAGGGACACTGATTAACACTTCAAGTTAATATACAAGGTCTGTCTGGAAAAAGCCCAGCCATTGCTAATATAACAAGAATGGTTTGGTGACATCCATGTAATCTGGCAACCAAGGGGAGTGGACTGGGATGCCCATGTGTGAACAATGACGACTTCACTGTACAGTGGGGGTGATAGATGCTGTTGAGTGAGCATGTGTACTGTGTGGCCATCACATTCAGAATAACTGAGGAGAGCAACAAGTCTGCATCAAATTTTGCATTAAGCTTGAACATTCCTCCATGGAAACTGTTCAGATGATCAGAAGGCCACAGGTATTGGCAACTAGTGATTGGCAGCTTCATCACACCTATGCTCCTGTTCATGCACCACATCTTATGCAGGGTTTTTTTTTTTTTTTTTGGCAAAACATCAAATTACCCAGGTTACTGAGCCCCACTACAGCCCAGATTTGGCACCCTGTAACTTCTTGCTTTTCTCAAAACTAAAATCACCTTTGAAAGGGAAGAGATTTCAGACCATCTATGAGATTTGGGAAAATACAATGAGGCAGCTGATGGCGACTGGGAGAACTGTGTGAGGTTCCAAGGTGTCTGCTTTGAAGGGGACTGAGGTGTCATTGTTCCATGTACAATGTTTCTTGTTTCTTGTATCTTCTTCAGTAAATGTCTGTTTTTCATATTACATGGCTGGATACCTTTTGGGCAGACCTCATATGAATGACTGCTTTTAAAATGTTCTTCATCTGTAAAAAGAAAATATTATACTTCTTTAAAGCTATTTATTTTGAAAGTGATTAAATACTTTTTTATTGTTGTAAAGAATTAAACCAGAAAATACACATAAAGCACTTAGAACAGTGCCTGGCTTGTATTGTATGCTTGTCTAATTTTTTTTGTTATTTCTAATGGAAACAAGTAGAATTAACTTATTTTGAACTGTCCTTTTTTTCTCCAAATTCACTGTCATTATAGTTTTTATTTATGTTTTATTTTTGTACTCTTAAAGTTACAATATACTTTATAACAAATAAACATTAAATTGTAATTTCAGTCAAATTTTCTTAATACTTCAATACTTTGAAAATGAGCAATGATATTTTTAGTATTTTTGGCAATAGTTATATCTGTATGTATTGAGCATGTATTATAATGTAAACCTGGTAACTGTAATTTAAATTTTTTTAATTCCATCATAGCCTATGGAAAAGGTGTTTTGGGAATGTTTTCTGTGACTCATTTCCTTCACAGATTTATCCATGTATCAATTTCTGTGTGCAAGTTGTAGACACTTAGTAAGTAATTGACTAGTTCACAATATTTGACTTAGTAAACATTTGACCTAGTTCAGAGCCATTGATTCCAGGACCTCTAAGAGTTACACATACGAAGACTGTGAATATGTAAGTTAGTGTTGGTATAATACATTTATAAAACTTTAATTGCTTTCAAACACATGTTTATTTGATCATTGGGCCTCATGAAGATAAAGGAAACAGGTAATGATAATATATAAAAGTAACCCTTATGAATATTATATGCACTAATGAGTAAACTTAATGGAGAGTCATTTTCTGAAAAGGTGTGGGCTTCTGAAAACTGTTCTCTTCTACCCAAATACACCCCAAACAAAATAAAACAATCTCATCCAGTCTTCCCCACCTTGGTAAGTGAATCCTCCATCACTTAAGTATTCAAGCCAGAGGCTGGCACTTATTTCCTTCCCTTATTTTATTTTATTTTATTTTTTAACCTTTTAACAATAGTAGACAAATAGATAGTGATTTTCTCTCTACCTGTCACCCAGCTTTGAACATTACAAGCTACAGCTAGTCTTGCTTCCTTTAAACGAGGACTTCTCAGTCTGAGTACTGTTGTCATTTGGGCCGATAATTCTTTTTGTGAGCGGACTGCCCTGTCCATTACAGGGTGTCTAGCAGCATCCTTCGCCTCCTTACCCACTGGATGCCAGGAGCTGCTTCCCCAGTGGGACAACCAAAATGGACTCAAGACATTGCCAGATGTCCCGTGGAGGACAAAATTGTTCCTATTTGAGAATCACTGACATGCCTTCATCCACTTTTTCCCTTCTTTTGACACTTTGCTCTTCCTTATCCCTTATCTTTTAAATCTCATTCATTCATTTGATACCTGAAAATATGTAAGATCAATATGTTCATTTTTCTCCAGATCCATTCTTTCTATCCTCATCTGCTAGTATTCCTGATGCCCTCCAATTTGACATTAGTCAGTGATAGTTTTGAATTTACATGGGATCATATCACTCTGCCGCTTGAAAATCCCTTGGGGCATTCCATCACACTTAGGGTAAACTACCAAAACTTTAATTTGGATACTGAGGCTTCATATGAACTGTCCACCGCTTATTTCTCTAGACTCTCCTGGTGCCTCACCATAATTTAAAGACAAAAGTAGATAAATACCAACTTTATTACCTGATGTACAAAATTATTGAAAATAATTTCATAATATTTGCTTAAATTTTGTTTTCAGGTGTTACGAGTGTGATGAAAAATTATCAACGCATTGTAATAAGAAGGTTTTGGTTCAGATAGTTGATTTTCTCCAGAAACATGTTTCTAAAACGCAAACAAGTAAGTTAAGCAATTGCTGAAGAAATTTGCATTTAACTGTAGTATTTTTTATTTGGTAGAAAGAGTGCATAAATTCATAAAGAATGCCTTAGATTTTAAGGTTGCCTCTCAGTACACGTGCTGTATATTCTTTGGCAGCTGTCCTGTGTTGTATTTACTAACTAGTAATGAGAGACTAGTGAGGCTGGTGGCTACATCATGGGCTTTTGAGTCAGATAGTGCCGAGTTTGAATTTAGGCCCCACCTGAGTTACTTACTATCTGTGTGGCTTTTACTCCTTAGTTTCCTTACTTAAAAAATTAGGATAACAATTCTTTCGTGTCCAGTTGTCATGAGGCTGAGATGTTTTTTAAAGATTTAGACATGATATATGTAAAAATACTCGTGTAATGCCTGGTACATATTTATGAGATTATATCTATTATTTGTCATGTAATGGTGGTACAGTTCTGACACTTCCTGGAATTAGGCTAACCTGACAGAGTAAGCGCTCAGATCCCCCACCAGATGCCCTCAGTTCACATCCTCAGGTTCAGGGCTTCCCAGGCCACCCACATTTCTGAACAACTGGCTACAAACCCAGGGGTTTCTACTGCCCTCTTTGGTTCAATAATTTGCTACAATGATTCCGAGAACTCAGGAAAGTGCTAACCTTACAATTACAGTTTTATTATAGCAAAAAAAAAAAAAGGAGAGAGACAGAGACAGACACATAGAGTGGGTCTGGGAAGTTCCCCAAAATGCAGCTTCTGTATCTTCTTCCTGTGAGGTCAGGATGCATCACCTTCCTGGCACGCTGATGCGTGACAATATACAGAGTGTTATTAACCAGGGAAGCTCACTGGAGCTTTGATGTCCTGCGTTTTTTATTGGGGTTTCATTGCATAAGCATTGCCGCATGATTTAACCCAGTCTCCCGTCCCCCAGCCCTCTAATCACACAGTTGGTCTTTATGGCACGCCTGGCTCCCGTCCTTAGTCATTTCATTAGCATAAACTGTCTAGGCACCCACAATGAGTATAAAAGACACCTTGTTAACTTTGTTAACACAAACTATGAAGTGTGGTTCGAGGGGCCCAACATGAATTGAAAGGACACTTCAGCTACTCTGGATATCCAAGAATTTAGTGAGTACTCCTCAGGAACACGGGATAAAGGGCAGCCAAGTTCTTTAGTATAAAGTAGTAATGTATTGTATATTAATTAGATACTTTGTTATCTATCTAATGTGTAAGAAATATATAGTATGTGTTACATAAATTAAGTGTTACAAGGAAGCAGTGTCTTCATTAAAAAATATTAAGTGCCTACCACATGCTAGGTTTTATATTTTATTTGATATGTAGCAGTAAAGTGAAGACATTTTATCTTGCCCTTTTTAGGGATAAACTATAGTGCAGGGGACAGACAAAAAATAAGCAAATATGTAACTTTTGATAAGTGCTAAAAAGGAAAGAAACAGATTGCAGAGATAGTTGACAACATATTGGTCACAGTGATCAAGAAAGACCAATATGGCTGGAGTGTGGTTTGCTGGGAGAGAGTAGGATGAGGTGAAATTAAGAGGTAGGTGGGCAGGTCATGAGATACTGCAAGGAATTCCTTGGTAAAGAACTTTTATTCTATCAGAAGTGTAATGGAAGCTATGAAAGTATTTTAACCATGAGAATAACAGTTATTTCATCTTTTTTAAAAAATATTTTTTTAGCCCTGGCCGGTTTGGCTCAGTGGGTTGAGTGCTGGTCTGCGAACCAACAGGTTGCCAGTTCGATTCCCAGTCAGGGCACATGCCTGGGTTGTGGGCCAGGTCCCCAGTAGGGGGAGTGTGAGAGGCAACTGATCGATGTCTCTCTCCCTCTTCTTCTCCCTCCCTTTACCTCTCTCTAAAAATAAACAAATAAAATCTAAAATACATATTTTAAATAAATATATATTTATTATATATAATATTTTATTATGTATATAGTTTAAGGAAAAGAGGGAGAAAGAAAGGGAGAAAGAGAGGGAGAGAAACATCGATTGGTTGCTTCTCATATGCACCCCTACTGGGGACTGAACCCGCAACGTAGGCATGTGCCCTGACCTGGAATCGAGCCAGCGATCTTTCACTTTTTGGGGTGACAGCCGGCCAACTGAACCACACTGGTCAGGGCAGTTATTTCATCTTTTTATAAGAGTTATAAAACTACTCTGATCATTAGTTGGAGAAGAGACTGTTGGGGGTTAAGAGTGAAGGTGGGGCAGTCCCTAAGGAGGTTAAAGAGGACGGTAGGCCCGGGGAGAGACGCGGAGAGGCGCTGGGGGAAGGCGATGGAGTAGAACGTGATGAGGAGGGAGAGTGGGAGGCATGGAGGCAAACCTCGGGATTTCCAGTAACTGGGTGAAGGAGTGACGGGTCATGACAATTCTGAAATGCCTTTGGAGCAGAATCGAACTTAGTACTTGACATCAGAAACCCCAAAAATTATATCACAATATAGTTGTCAGCCATAGTTTCCATAGTCCAGCATACATTGTAATTGTTAGCTGTGGCCCTGAGACAGTAATGGTGAGGGAACTAGAGGAGGTAAACTCAGCTTCCTGGACAGTAGAAGAAATGATTGATTTTATAACACTTATTCAACAAAATTTATTGAAATCTTACTCTGTTATACTAGTTATAGCTCCAATTGTGTTCAAATCAAGAATCAGGAAAAATATGGTGGGGAGAGGTACTTATTACTTCAGGAATAGAGACGTTGGTCTCTATGCTGTCTCCTGAAAATGGCACATTAAATTTGTTGTCCACAGTAAGGTAGGCAGGCATCTGATGCCAAGGGTGGCAAAAGTGTAGTCGTAGATGTTATTTTCTCTGTATTTTTCACCTCAGAGTTTCTTTGAAATTAAGAACAAAGCCAGTCTGATTGTGTTTAATTTTACAGATTTCTTGAGTATTTATTGTCATAAGGAATGTAAGGTAGGGAGAATGAGATAATATTGTAGGAAGAACAAGGGCTTTGAGTCAGACATTCTGGTGTTCAAATTCAACTCTTTTCCTCGGTCACTAGCTATGTGGCCTGGGGCAGATTACAGTTTGTCTGAGCCTCATTGTCCTCAGCACTTTGCCCTCTTTCCATGGGGCTTCCAGAGATACAGATTGATAAAACAGTTCCTGCCCCCAAAGAAGTTTAAGATCTAAGAGAAACTGTGAGATAAAAAAGTAATGATAATGTAAGTAGAATACAATTTGTATTTTGAGAGATGTTTAAATAGTCCTTTAGATAGTCAAAGAGGGATATGGTCAGTTGAAAGGAATACAGAAGGAATCTAGGATGAGTTGGCTTTCAGGCTGACCCCTAAAGGATGAACTTGGGATAAGTGGAGATGAGAGGGGAAATCATTTCAGGTGGTGGAAAGGGCCTGCGTATGCTTTAATGGTGTTTAGGGAGCTATGGGTGGCACCTGAAATGGTGGGAAATAGGCTCTTGAGGGAATTTGAGAGTGTGTAGAGCTTTCAAATCTGGAGAGAGACGTAGTTCTGAATTCAAGGTTTCCAGAAGTTCTAGGGCAGAATGTGGGTATCTTTGCTTTCCAAGCTACGGGATTTGTCAGGCAAGTGTGATTTAAAATAAGATCCCTTGGCATTCTAGAAGTAAGTTTTGGGAGATAATAATTTGCCATATTTTTCTTTCATAAGGCTTTAGTATATTTTTCTCAAATACTTTAAAAACTGAAAGTGGAAGTTGCTGTTGAGGTTTGTAAGAATGCTTGATATGATTATGTAGCTATAAATGGTAATTCAAAAAATATGAAACTGTGTGTATTATATTTAGGTGGAAGAACAAGAATGATTTGAAAATGTTTTTATATTTTGCACTAAGTAAAAATAGCTCTACTGAGAGGAAAGCCCGCACCTACCTATCCCTTAAACATGTTTTAAATGATGCAGTGCCTCAACTAATGTCCAGTAAAGCTGCACCCGCTTCTCTGCACAGAGAGTCTAGGCTGGTGCCCCATCTGTCTCTTAAAAACAACTAGCTCAGGAAACCTCAGCTTTTGACTTAATAGTCCATTAGACTCTTAAAAATTTATTGAGGGCCTGAAGAGTTTTTGTTAGGTAGGTTATATATCAGTACTTACTGTAATAGAAGTTAAAATGAAGAAAATTAAACTATTAATTTACTGGAAAAATAGTAATTTTATGATGTTAACTCAAATAACACTTTATTTTAAAGAACTTTTTTAAAAAATAACACAAACATAATAAGTGGCATTGTTTCACATTTTAACAAATCTCTTTAATGTCTGGCTTAATAGAAAAGAGCTGGATTCTCATATCTGCTTCTCTGCCCAGTCCGTTGTGGTATCACATGGCAGGTAGCCTCTGGAAGCCTGCACTGTGTGACTGAGCATGAATGAAGTAAAAAAGGAAGCAACATTAGGTTTATAAAGTACTTCTGGCCATAAGGACCTTAAAAGGAAGGTGTTTTCAGATGCACTTTCAGAACTGCTGGCCTAGCACATTTCTGTCTCCAAGTCTGCAGCCTTACGTGCTCTCCAGCTCCGCTCAAACCCTACTACAAGAACACTTGCCTAACCCTTCATCTTATCTCCTTTCTTCCATGCAGCATACCTGAGAATGTAAGACCACAGGGTTTTGCACTGTTTAGCTTTCATGTGTTTATGTGTCTGATTTGAAAAACTGTGTTCCTTGAGGATTGTACCGGGCTTACATTCTTTTTTATTCCTATGTGGCTAAGCTGTAAATACTTGCTGAGTTGAACTGAACTAGCATGTAACCAGGTTTTACTGGGGAAGTAGATAAGCTTTGCATTTTTGCTCCTCTAAAAGTCTGAGTGTTAATATCAAAATTTTATTTATTCATTCAGTCTTTTAATATGTTTGCATTTCTAGCCAGATGCTGAGTTAGATGTGGAGATACAGTAGTGAATAAGACAAATGTATTTCTCAGTTCCTGCCATTATTGATCTTTTTGGTCCAGTAGGGCATATTGATGAATC